AAACTGGGAAGTCCTCGTCACCATTGCCAAGGAAGGCGGCTGGGAGGGGCGTTTTGAGGTGTGGTGGAGACGAGGGACTAGGCACAGCAGGCGGTTGGTACCAGGTGACAGGCAAGCCTGCAGCTGGATCGGTAGGTGCATAGTACCGGTAGCTTGGTGGCTGGCCAGGTAGAGTGGGCCGAGTGGTCTGGGGGGGCTGAGGATGCCTGGGGGGGTGGGTGGTAGACCCATACCGGAGTGCCGGTCTGGGAGGGTGAGTGTTAGCCCCAGGCTGGAGTGAAGGGCGGGCTGTGGCCTGAGATGTGTATATGGTAGGCGTAACAGACGTACCAGGAGGTGGTGGTTGCGACGGTACAGCTGGAGGGAATGAAGCTGGACTTGGAAACCTCGGGGGGAGACCCGTCTGTGTGGGCGACGCCATTACGTTCGAGGGGTTGCGAGCCACAGGGTTGTAGTTGAATGAAATGTCCTTGTCGATAACGACGACAGAATCACTAGCGGTAGCCATATAGTGACGGGCAGTTCCAAATTCTCAACAGTTCAGTGCGAGCCGACAGCTTACCTTGACAGGAACGAGAGCGTAGCGGTCCGGGAAGTTGAAGGTAGACGCACATGGGCCAGAGGGGGGAGGGGGGCGAGTACCGCCGAGGCGGTGAACGCAGCGATCCGCCGGTTGTTGACGAATAAGTCCGGTGGTTAGGGACGGCGAAGAGTCCGAACACCGCTGCCACCAGTGTAAGTTCCGTATACTTAGCAGATAAGGAGGCCAGGCGATGAGTAGTGTGGAGATGAATCTATTCTGCTGTAGAACAATATACAGGTCTACCATGTGCTCCAGTTCACCTCTGACCCCGGGTTGGCTCATACCATTCCAACCCGGGGGTGTTCTATTTCTGCCACTTACACTAGTATATGCCCCCCCCCCCTCTTGTCGCTACCCCCGCCAACTGAAGTTAAAATATATCTTGGAATCTGTAATGCCAATATTTACTGCTACTGCAATTAAATATGTTCACTGCTTTCACATCGTTTTGTAATCTATATTAGAACCTGGTTCTATAACCGTTTCAGGCCGTAGGGGCAGTGGGTTGATGGTACTACTTTAAGACCTCAAAGATACCCTCCCCCCAGTAGAATAGGACAGTCCAGTGACCTACAGAGGTCACCTCAGGGAACCAGTTGAAACTGGATGAGTACAACACATCTTTGAATACAGTTCCATCCAAATACAGTCCTCTCTGTCTTCATTGCCAACTGGGAGTGTGGAATAGACTGTTACACTACTAATTCTAATAGTTTTTAACTTTCATGGCCGCCAAACAGAACTAATAGTATGTAGATATAATTGATTTTGTTAACATGTAAACAATACTGACACATATTGTTAAGTTTTTGCAGTAGGAAACATTAATAATCATACTAAAGTGCCGGCAGAAATAAAATATATCATCATGGTAATCAGGGAAACAATTTGACCTTTGACCACACCACTATTCACCTCTGACCTCACGAGACGACAGAACGACCCTACTACAGCTGCCCGAGTACGAGGCGAGTCTCGGTTTACGTGAAGAGAAAAACCATCATAGGAAGCAGGTAAGTCTTAGAAACAGCAGCAAAGTACTTTGATAATGAGAGAAATAGTTTGAGGTCCTTTCTGTGGAAAAAGGATAAGAGTAACGTTAGGGGTCTAATTTTTAAGGAATTTTTCCGGATATGAACATGATAGAAAATTATGAGGGGGAGGGGGGCGAAACCAAACATACGTGCGACCCTGGCTGGGCCTCTAAACTGTTTTTGTTCCGTTTCAAACCGGTTTACCGTCTCTGGGGCTATCATCATGACAGGCTAGCTTTCTGCTTTAGGTATAGGATGAGGAGAAAAAAAAAAGGAGTTAAACTTAAATATTTAAACCGATGTGTACCGGAGTGTACCATTTGGTTGGGGGGGGGAGGTATTTACATGCTGGTTGCCTGTATTCTTCAGTCTTCCCTGGAGGTCATTTAGAGGTCATGGTACTAGGTTTAACCTGATCGGTCCTGATTGTTGCAATGATAGAGCAGAACTTTGTCCAATGAACTTAATGTTATGTGAATGAAGCTACCATTTGCTGCCTGTGACCCCTTCTACAGATGAGAAATGGAAGATTCCATCTGTGAACATCCTACTGGAGACCTGTGTGTTAGACACCCTGGGAAGGAGATGAACTGTACTGAACACCCTGGAAAGGAGATGGACTGTGATGAACACCCTGGGAAGGAGATGGGCTGTACTGAACACCCCGGGAAGGAGATTGGCTGTACTGAACACCCTGGGAAGGAGATTGGCTGTACTGAACACCCTGGGAAGGAGATGGGCTGTACTGAACAGCCTGGGAAGGAGAGTGACAGCAGGGAGACCCAGACAACAGACATGGGCCCGCAGCAGGAAACGTGTGATGTGAACTTTCCCCGACCTGTCAACAAGTCAACCTCACAGGTACAGGAGAGCAAAGGTGATATGGGAAGGCACATGGTAAAACACACCGGTGAGAAACCCTACATATGTGGGGAGTGTGGGTACAGAACAGCTAAAAAGTCTCACCTATCTGATCATATGAGAACCCATACAGGAGAAAAACCCTACATGTGTGGGGAGTGTGGGTACAGGACAGCTTACAAGTCTCACCTATCCGAACATATGAGAACCCATACAGGAGAAAAACCCTACAAGTGTGACCAGTGTGACTATTCTACAGCATGGAAATCCACTTTGGACAATCATATGAAACACACTGGTTTTCTTGAGAAACCCTACATGTGTGGGGAGTGTGGGTACAGGACAACTAAAAAGTATTACTTATCCCAACATATGAGAACCCATACAGGAGAAAAACCCTACATGTGTGGGGAGTGTGGATACAGAACAGCTCGCAAGTCTGACGTATCTAAACACATGAGAACCCATACTGGAGAAAAACCCTACATGTGTGGGGTGTGTGGATACAGGGCAACTCGCAAGTCTGACTTATCTAAACATATGAGAACCCATACAGGAGAAAAACCCTACAAGTGTGACCAGTGTGACTATTCTGCAATAGAAAAATACACTTTTGCCCAACATGTAGCAAAACACACTGGTGAGAAACCCTGTGTGGGGAGTGTGGGTACAGGACCGCTAAAAAGTCCCACTTATCCGAACATATGAGAATTCATACAGGAGAAACGCCCTACAAATGTGATCAGTGTGACTATTTTGCAAGACACAAATCCAGTTTAAACAGACATCTAGCAAAACACACCGGTGAGAAACCCTACATGTGTGGGGAGTGTGGGTACAGATCAAGTCACAAGTCTGACTTATATAAACATATGAGAACCCATACAGGAGAAAAACCCTACAAGTGTGACTATTCTGCTGCACGGAAATATGATTTGGACATCCATCTTGCTAAACACACTGGTGAGAAACCCTACCTGTGTGAGGAGTGTGGGTACAGGACAGCTGACAGGTCTCACTTATCCCGACATATGAAAACTCATACACATCACTACTAACTAGGACAGCTCAGAAGTCCTACAAGCGAAATTTCCCACTCTTTGGACCTATGTATAGTGAAGCTCTTAAACAATGTACAGATATAGATATTGTTATCAAGTTTTTTTGTATTGTATGATGTATTGCTTACTGAGGTCGTACCAGATATGCTTGTTATCATGTATATACAGGATAGACTTAACTTTCATTTATATTTATAGATAAAAACCCGAATGTTTTACTTGTTATGATGCCCACAGAATGGAATGTATGTAATTATTCTTGCAATTCAGCCTCTGGGCTGTGAAAATGTTTCAATCAATAAACCAGTAATATATTACCTGTTACGTCAAATGGCATGCCTTTAAGAAATGTATTAAAG